TCCCACATAAATATGTAGTGAAATTTACCTATACAAAAGAAAAAAAATTAAATGTAAAAAGTTAAAATGTAAAGAATCCCATGTCGTGTTTTAATATTAAGAACTTTTTTTGGTTTTATACAGGGTGTCCCAGAATATGTGGGTAATCTCCCGGATTAAGATAGAACCCAAAAAAATGTTATGACAAGTTCCTATAAATTTTTAGAGATACTGGCCCCTAACGGACGCCGCTGAAAAGAAGAAAAAAGATCGAAAATTTCAAAACACTTTATTTTCAACTGACATCATAATTTAAATCAGTAAATGTTAAAAAAAACATTGCAAAAAAGCAAAAAACCCTATTGTACAAAAACATTTTTTTTTCGTAAACAGTGCATTTTATCGATGTCGATCAAGAGTACCTTTTTTTGGTTTAAGGTTTTAGCTGATCAAAAATATTATTGTTGTGCCTTTATACTACAGGGTGTTAAAGAAATAAAACTTTAAATAAGCTGGATGTGATTAAAAGTTCAGTTTAACCTTCCGGCGGGCGCACGTCTTTTGTGCACGAGTTCGGGCGCAGTGATCTGACAGATTCAATTTTCAGATAGGCTTAGTAAAGTGCTTTTTTATATTTTTTACCAAATAAATAATTAACACTACTTTTTTTAAGACTATATACTAACTTATAAAATACTATACATACATAAAATGCGCAAATAAAATCAAATATAACTAATTTTTGTAAAGACAAAATAAATTTTCAGATATGCATACTAAAGTGTTTTTTTTTTATATTTTAACCAAATAAATAAATAACAACGTTTTTTAAAACTTTTAATAAATAACATAAAATTAAAACATACATGTATTTATGCATGAATTCCGAAAATAAAATAAAACAATTTTTTTTGTAACGAAAACTAAACAAAATAGGTATTTTATACAAATATTGTATATCAAAACAAATAATTATGAATAATTATTAAAACTCCTCATTAGATTTATTAATAACAGTTTTATCCAAACATGAAGTGCATACGAAAATTGCAAGTTGTAAGTGCTTTTTGACATTTTTTGCACTTTATTTAGAAAGCGGTCTAATACCCGATTCTGAAGTCCATGGTAAACATCTTTGTTTTTTAGGTGGTTGTTTTTCTTGCTGAACTATCATATTATAAATTTTAGTAAAAATGCACACAGAAAGTTATAAATCAATGCTTTCGTTCATAAAAAGTTAAAATTTTGTAAATATATAATTATAACGCAATCGGGCGCACTGTATCTAGCAGATCAAAATGCCTGCCACCACCTTACAAGGCGATTAAACACAAACTGCAGTAGACATATCGGTAGAAGTCCTAAAAATATGAAGCTACTGAAAGGCTGGTAGTTATGCCTATAAAAACAGTGCGTTCGCGTGCAATTTTTTAACTGGTGTATCTCTTAGATCGGTTGCGCCCGCCGGAAGGTTAAGGAAACTTTCGTAGTAACCAACATATTAAAAAATATTAAATTCTACCTAGTAGGTAAGTTATTTAAAAACAAACTATTTTCAGGGGAGCCCGTTAAGGCCCGTATCTCCGTAGAGGGGTCAGTAAGAAAAAAATATATAATAGGAATTTATCATATTATTTTATGTGTTCTACTTTTATTTGAATCCGGGAGATTGCCCACATATTCTGGGACACCCTGTACCTATATATTTTTGTACTAAAAAAAAATCAACTTGGTAAATAACAAGCACCATAGGCAGGGTTGAAAAAACTCGCTTTTTTTAAACCCAACCCACTGGAAATATTTGTTTTACTGTTATTTTAAAATTATATAGTGATTTAAGTAATAAACAACATTAAACTAAAAATACTGTTTATAAGAAAAATTCAAGTAATTTCAATACGACATATTCGCGGTCGCTTGTCAACTATAAAATGCGTAGGTGGAATCACGATACACAAACAACGGTATGCTGATACGCATTTTATGTAAGGTTCGACCGCCAAAAACCTGGCCGAGATCTTGTTCTCGTTCTCGGCAAAAAGAACTCGGACTTTTTAAGCGCGAAGCATGCGCGGCCATAACGAATACGAGCTCTAAGTAACCATTAGTCCAGTCATCTTAGTCAAAATAAGGTAAGAATCTCGGAATGTGAGATACCAAGTTGTATATTTGTGTAAACTTTTATTTTGACATCATAAAACTTGTCTCAAAACCTACATACTGTAAGGCCTCCGCATCTGTCAAAAATTAAGGTCAAAGGGCACAAAAATCAATTTTTTGGACATTTTTGCAAATATCTCGTTTCCTATGGGGTTTAAGTGATTTGTATTTATTATCAATATTATAGAGGGTAAAATTTTCTACAACTTTTGTCTCAAAAGTTTTTTTATACGTTCAATCGTTTTCGAGATAAAGAGCAGTGAGCGCGCAGTGTTTAACTATGTAGAGTATCATTTAAGGTCAACCGGTAGGCCTGATCAAAAATATGCCTCATACAGTTTCTAAAATTTTGAGAAATACATAATTATGAATAATTATAATTTTTTTTAAATATTACATCATAGTTAATAACTTTTTTCTTGTCGTATCTATTGTTAATTGAGTATCAATGTATTTAATCACACTTACCTGATTGTGTACTTAGAAAATTACTAAGTGAAATACCTAAATTATTTACCTATTTTTTAATGTTACCAAAGCTATACTAATTACTTGAATAATAAATAATTTCAGCTTCTTCTTCATTTTCGTCTTCAACGACATTTGTCTCCAGGTCTTCCATGATGTCAGGATCAAAGGTCCCATCTTCCCGATTTCTTGCAACCATATCGCGAACCACAAACATTCTTGCAGTTGCAGAATATTGTGTTAATTAGCGATAATATACACGATTAAGATGTTAATGAGCTGCAGCACTCGTTGGTCGAATATTTGATAACTGCACAGGTTTATTTGATTTTGTAGATTTAAGATATTGGTCATAACGGAGATGATCGATGCTTCCCACAGATTTTGAAGCATTATAGACTGCTAACAAAGTTTTAATTTCATTTTTAACCCTTAAACTCACAACTGGGGTCCAAATGGACCCCAGGAATACAACAAAATCTGATTTTTCTCTGATTTTGTTTTTAGATTTTTAAAGTTTTAAAATCTATCATTCTCTTCCTTATAAAAAGTGAAAAAAGATAATCTATAGTAAAGTGTGTTTATCGATCATAGAACCGAATTTACGTTTAAGAAACCAGTGAGGTCCATTTTGACCCCAGTTATGCGTTTAAGGGTAAAAAAATTAAGTTGTGAGTTTAAGTCAAATGCTGCAGCAATTTGATCCAAATCCGGCAGTTGCTCACAAATTCTTAAAAAAGTTTTTTTGATTTCTTACCTCTGCTTAAAATGTAATTAGTGTAAATAAGAATGTACTTAAACTATTTTCCTTGATGATTTTTCAATTACATGGATAGGTTAAAAGTTATAAATGTTATTAAATAGATAGCTTATTGATTAATGAAAAAAGTTATTAATTTTAATGTAAATATTTCTCAACAATAATTTATAAACTGTATGAGACATATTTTTGATCGGGCCTACCGGTTGACCTTAAATGATACTCTACATAGTTAAACACTGCGCGCTCACTGCTTTCTATCTCGAAAACGATCGAACGTATAAAAAAACTTTTGAGACAAAAGTTGTAGAAAATTTTATCCTCTATAATATTGATAATAAATACAAATCGCGTAAACCCCATAGGAAACGAGATATTTGCAAAAAATGTCCAAAAAATCGATTTTTGTGCCCTTTGACCTTAATTTTTGACAGATGCGGAGACCTTACAGTATGTAGGTTTTGAGACAAGTTTTAGGATGTCAAAATAAAAGTTTATACAAATATACAGCTTGGTATCTCACATTCCGAGGTGAAACTACTAAGATGACTGGACTACATTACCTTTTTGAGCGTATTTAAATAGGTAAGTTATTTTAAATGTCTGAGTTTACAATGTGAAATCTATCAAGCAAAGCAATATTTGTGAATGGGATGGACCTCGCATTGACTGTCTGTACGTTATTTCAAAAAAACAATATAACTGTCATTGACAATTAGGAAATTACAAATTTAAGTTAAATAGTATTAAACGATTTTTTAACGAATTGTGCATTTTTGTATATTTTTCCCATTTTTTTAAATACTTTGTCATGTCTCGGTCGAGAATTTATTTTGTTCTCGGTCTCGGCCTAGACTAAAAATCAGATTCGGTCAGACCTTAATTTTTTGACGTCATGTGAGAATCAAACTCTGCAAAATCACGTTTTATTTCCAAATTTATAAATATATGGACGTTCTGCTTAAACAAAGAAGCACATTAAATGGAATTAACACCCGTGCGTGGCTCATGCCTTGCAAATATATTCTAACCTTAGTTATTGCTGACCAACAAAAGCAGCAAAAACTTTACAAAAACAGCCGTGCATATGCAAAACGTTTAAATCCGGTTCCCACGTGACCTCACAAAGCGCGGATCTGAAGTTTGTTTGTGTATCGTGGGTGTAATACAGGGGAATCCCCGAACTTCAAAATTAAGTTTTGTTTATTCGTTTCTATGTATTCTGATATATAAAATCAGTTTGACCAGCGCTTTATGTGGGTTCTTTCAAGTTTTAGTTACGACTTAACAAGTGTATTATTTTTAATCTTTAACTAAATTTTTAAAACCCTGCGGGCTTTTTAGAGTGGGTTTTATAAAAAAATCTGTTTTTTTAGGCTACCCACTGGGCAGTCAACCCTGATTTAGTAGGCATAATTTAACATTTAAGAAGCTATCTTTCAAAACGCAGTATTTTAAATTATTATCCACTAAGAAGTACATGCTTTAAAAGCAGCTGAATTCAATGTTGAATATTAGGTTTAAAATCTATAAAGAAACTTACTTAATAAATAAATAAAAAATTAAAATCAAAATGTAGCTTCTTATTAAATAATTTAAAACACATTTATTAAATTAATAAAATATTAAATACCTTTAAATAAAAATATTGTAGATGGAATAAAAACATCCAAAACCCTACAACAAATAATGTTATACAATACTTGCATCAATTAAAATATAACAACTTACCAATTTTTGCTTACTCCAATAAGTTATGAAATAAGAATACACTGAAGAATTTTGAACAAACTTCTGTACATAATATTCAAAAAAATAAAACAAAAGAAACAAATGTAAAAAACAAGTTAACCTTTTTAAACATAAGGTAAGAACTGCTTACATATTGTTTTAATTTCTTAAATCAATGCTTTAATTTCATCATAAAAAACGAGCACCAAGGCAGCTCCCATGCCTCGGAAGACATTTGATAGGGCACCCTTGAAAAAGGCAGCAGTACCTTCTGTTTTGTTTATTTTGATCCAGCAATCAAGAGTATTTTTGTATATAACTTCACTCTTTTTAAGTCCAGATTGCATCATCATCCTCCTTCTAACAGTGTCAAATGGATAGGAAATAATTCCTGACAAAGTTGTAACAGTCTAAAATAATACATTTCAAATTATTATAAAGTTAAACTTTTGAATGAAATGTATAAAAATACCCTAACATATTTCAACAACTCTAAACCACCCAATATAAATATAATCATAAATATGAGGTTTATTAAACAAAAAATTAATTGACAAAAAGGTTTTTCTTAAAATAACTTCTTTACTATATTATATTAAATGGTGTACAGGGTGGTCCACGTAAGGTGACCCATATACTTATCTCAGAAACTACTGGAGTCACAAAAAATTTGTAAGAAACAAATATTCACGAAGTAAAAAATATTTTTAAAATATTATATTTTCATTTATACAGGGTGTTCGGTTTTCCTTGGGACGATACCAACTTTCTTATTTTCAATGGAACACCCTATATCTTTTTGCATTTTTGGATTCTACACACTCTTTTAGGTATACTTTGTATATATATTAATTAAGAAAATGTTAATACTTTTTGAGGAAAATGAGGATTTATTAAAATTTCTCTAAATGTAGACATTTGCTAAAAGTTAAAAATAACCAACTAAAAGTTATTATTTTTTATATTATGTAGTATCCATCTCTTTAATAATAAGTAAGCTATAAGTTAATTATTATATTTTTTGGAAAATATCATACAGGGTGTTTTCTATGTCTCGTTGAAAATAGCGATTTTTAAAGTTTAAAATCTTGTTTTTCTTTAATGAAACACCCTATATATTTTTGCATAATTGGATAGAATAAGTAATTACCTTTCATTTTATATATATATGTCCTATACCTAAACCTAACAGAAAAAAAAATATTCGCATTTTTCACAATTAGTAGCTTTTTTCCAATTCTTAGTTAAATTTTCATTATTCAAAGAAAACACCCTGTATAATATTTTCCAAAAAATAAATTAATTAACTTATAGCTTACTTATTATTAAAGAGATGAATGCTACATAATATAAAAAATAATAACTTTTAGTTGGTTATTTTTAACTTTTAGCGAGTGTCTACATTTAGAGAAATTTTAATAAATCTTAATTTTACTCAAAAAGTATTAACATTTTCTTAATTAATATATTTACAAAGTATACCTAAAAGAGTGGGTAGAATCCAAAAATGCAAAAAAATACAGGGTGTTCCATTGAAAATAAGAAAGTTGGTATCGTCCCAAGGAAAACCGAACACCCTGTATAAATGAAAATATAATATTTAAAAAATATTTTTTACTTCGTGAATATTTGTTTCTTACAAATTTTTTGTGACTCCAGTAGTTTCTGAGATAAGTATATGGGTCACCTTACGTGGACCACCCTGTACAGTTACTGTTCAATATTTGGAAGCAAAATATTAAATGCAGAGTTAATGGTTAATTATAATATTAAGTTATAAAGATATAATTGTCACACAGTAGCAATAGGGCTGTTCAAATTTACATTAAATCCAAAACGATTAAACCTAGTCACCACATAATCATATTTCAAAAAACTTTTGTTTAATTTTTTTTTCTTATTGACAATACCAAGAAAGTTATGACAACCACCCAAAAATTTTGGGCCAAAATTCTAAAGAATTTTTACCCAAGAAACCAAAAAAACAATTTTTGGAATATTTAGGCTTTGGAATATAAAAATATAATATAATAAATTATTTAAAAAAGTTATTTTAATAATCAATCAATCATTTGAAATACTATCACCAGTAATGATGATACTTTAGGTAGCCTGTGGCGTAAATACATTAAAAAATGTGTGTTCAGTAGAAATAGGGGCCCCCCTTACTAAAATACGAAATTTTTTAGAGTAGAAAATAAATTTATTTACAGCCGACAGTGACACAAATTGATAATCTTAAAAAATATATATTTCGAGCTTTTGCTTTCGCAAATTTTGTACATTTATCTTTTTTGCTTTGTCATTTTTAATTGAAATTATAGCCAGAAAGCTCAATAGGACAGAAAGCTGTAATAATTTTAGAAAAAATACTACTTGAGGAGTAATTTTTAAGATGAATTAAATCATGATTGCAAGAATTTACGCAGTGGAATTTATTGTTGTAAACTCATTTTTAAAGCCCTTGTTAAAAGACAATAGTTGGCCAGAAATTGTGTCTGAAACATCATCTTTATATTTCAGGCAACAATTTTGGCTGGAAGAGAAAATTTCATTGTAAAATGAATTCAGCAAAAAACATGAGAAACTTTTCCTAAATCAGTACTGGTTTTTTTTAACTACTCCGGATTACAAAAAAGTTTTGTAGGAGCTAACCCCCGTATCAGCAATATTAAGTAATAAAGGACATAAAAATTGTTATTGTTTTTAACAATTTGTCCCTTATTAATTAAAATTGTACATACTTATTGGGTTAGCAGGGCAGAGTACTTCCAGCACAAAAATAAGCTAGTTAATACTAAAATCGCATAATCTATAATGGATCAATTGACGAGTTTATAAACAATTTCCACGAGGGATGGTTCAAATAGAACTACACAGCAAACGGAAAAATATAGAAGTGAAGAGGAAGAAGTTTTATCAGAACTGTATGAATCTTGCTTTGTTTTTATATTTTTTGCCTCTAAACCTATGCACGACTATAGTTAAAGTCAAACTCAATGGTGTCTTACAAGATACATTATTTTGATTTTCTATATTCAACAGAGAGGTAGAAACTCGACCCTGTCGAATGGTGCAGTCATTTATGTCTCTAGAAATTATTGAAAAAGGGGGCAGTCCAATGGTGCAGCAACTTCGGATTCTTATTCTCTTCAGACATAGAAACTCAAGCTTTTCGAATTTTAATGGCAGTGATTTTCGTTAATGTCCCTGAGCATTATAAAAAAAACAGCTCAATGCAATATCGCAACGGTTTCGACTTTTCTTTACTCTACCAAGTTATAGAAACTGGAGTCTCTCTAATACTGTTCTAGTCAATATTTCTGAGAGCATAAAAAGACGGTATTTTGAATATTCTCATTTCTGCATATGATTTTGTTGAAAACAGTTATTTGTATTAAAAATTTCCGAGGTTTTCGAAAATTTCAGAGGTTATGTTGAAAAAACGATCGATATGCTATTAATTACTAATTTAGTAATAAGGTCTGTTGGTAGACCCTGCACTATATCCACTGGTATATGTTAGTACAGCAATATTTAAATCTGGTTGATCAAAAAGTACACACAAGTTCAGGTTATTGTAGCCTCTATGAACAAATGAATTAATTGCACATTGGCAATTATTCCTTTAGGAAAAATATTCAACACAGCTTAATTAATTAATAAATTGAAAAAAAATCACAATCATGTTGTATATAGTTTTTTTTCAAGCATAAAATAATTTTCATATTAATAATAATTTAAAAGTCAAATTACGACCTCTATACCGTGGAGAGTATTGAAACGCTCAACTGACGAATACAACTCTATATCGTAGCGAGGGTTTAGAAAACTGTATTCAAATGTGGTGTCATCCAATACACTTTTTCCGTTTGTTGTGTACCTTTAAGATAAATCTAGAAATTTCGTCTGAACAAATTAATAGTCCAAGAAACATTTGAAAAATTATAATATAAGATTCACACGGAAATATAATGGTATATGAATGAATAAATCAAAGAAAATATTGAAAAAATAACATTTTAAATCTAGGTGATTAAATGGTTACCAGGGCAGAAAGACCACGGTCGATAGCCTGTTGGAAAACCAATAAAGATGTTTATTATTATTATTGGTTACCTAGAAACAATATTAAAAGATAAATGTGAATGAATAAATCAGAAAAAAAAACAAGTAGGAAAAAAGTGATAGGTACTGATGGAAAATAAACATAAATTAATATGAAATAAACTATAAACAATAAGAATATATGTATTTTTCTACTCCTATTGCATATTACTGACATTATTTGGGATTTTTTAGTAAATAATGGCCCAACAGCTTAAATAATGAACTCGAGTTATCCACATTGCAGGGCTCTCACGGCTAAATTAGGAATTTAGGAGGTTTTTTGTAAAATTTTAGGAGAAATAAAGTAAGGAAATGAATTTCTTTAATTAAATAAAAACAATTCTTTACTACTTAAAAAATAAGAAAAAATTATTACTTCTTTTGTAAAAATAAGTTATATTGACTAGTTTTTTAGCCAAATCGCTCGACGGGTTTTTTTTTTAAATTAAAAGTGAGGTAAAATTACTACTTTTGTATATATATATTAGGGTGGCTCAAAAAAAAAGAATATTTTTTTTCTTCTCGTCTCTTGTGAAAATATGTTGGTTTGTCATGTTTTAAGAGCTCTGTCAAAAGATCAGCACCATTAAAAATTTTTTAGGGGTCGCTCAAGATTTTTAAAAATTACCAAAATCGTCAAAAATTGGATTTTTGTTTTATTTTAATTCTTTTTCTCGTCTCGATATTATTTTTTAGGTTGAAAATAATAAAAATTCTGTAAATTTCAAATCAATATTTTGATTTCTAAAGGTCGCTAAAAGTTCCTTGATATTTATATTCAGAGGTCGCTCGAAAACATTCAAAATACTCTACTTTGAAAGTTCAAAAAATGTTGAGCGACCTTTAGAAATTAAAATATCGATTTGAAATTATCAGAATTATTATTATTTTTAAATTAAAAAATAATATCGGAACGAGAAAAAAAATTAAAATAAAAAAAAATCCAATTTTTGACGATTTTGGTAATTTTTAAAAATCTTGAGCGACCCCTAAAAAATTTTTAATGGTGCTGATCTTTTGACAGGGCTCTTAAAACATGACAAACCAACATATTTTCACAAGAGACGAGAAGAAAAAAAATATTCTTTTTTTTTGGGCCACCCTAATATATATACAAGTATAAATTTCACCAAACTTTTAATTTTATTTAAAAAAATGCGTCGATAGATTTAGTTAAAAAACTATCCCAAAATCAAATGATGTTATATTTATATTTTAAGAAATAATATGTTAACCGTTTAGTTAATAACTAACAGTAATTAAATCGGTAAGATTAAGAATAGTACAAGTCCAAAAGTAAAATTTTTGATAAAATATTTCAAAAAATCAGTTTTATAGTTATAAATGCATTTTTGTTAGAATATTTTAACTATTTTATGAAATATATTATTCATATTCTGTAAAATAATTTATATCTCTCACAAAAATGTATTTTAAACTTTAAAATTGATTTTAAAAAATGACTTGTCAAAATTAAATTTTTGGACTCGTACTGTTCTTATTCTCACCGATTCAATTGTAATGTGGAACTTAATACTTAAAAATCTCAAAACAAAATATGAAGTTTGCAAAATACAGCAAAGCATTCTTTGGATTGTTTACTATTTTAGCTGTCATTTACAAGAAAATTAAAAATCATTTTGTTTGATATATAACACGGTATATTTTTGTCTAAAACAAACGAAATATGGGTAAAAATGACATTTAAGTAGAAGTTTTTTTGTTGTTTTTTAAGAAAAATTTTGGTTGTGATATTATATCATTTTAAAAAGAATTTAATAAAATAGAACCTAAAAATATATATTTTTAAATTACTTTTTAAAAAAGAATTTTTTTAGCACTACCTTAATTAAACGCAGTCAGGTTGGCCTATTTAAATTTAATTTTTTAGGATTTTAGGAGTTTTAGGAGATTGAATGCAATTTTAGGAGAATTTTAGGAGTTTTCAAGATTTAAGCAAAATTTTAGGAATTTTATGAGTTTTAGGAGGTGTGGGTGTGGGGAAGTGTGACATTGTTAGGCATCAGTGATTGGCTGATTTCAATATTCACTGTTATTTGAGAATAAGTGAGGGTAACATATGTCAGATTTGTTTATATATACAAGGGGCGACTAAATGATCTTTAAAATCGGGGAAAAATGAGGTTATGAAATTTTGTTTATGAAAATTACACAATTGGAGTGGAAAAAGGATAGTGTTACACTCGAAATAATGCGCATTATTTACTCGAATTAATTACGTCTCTCGACTAACGGCTCGAGACGCAAACCTCATCCTTGTGAATAATAGCCTGCATTATCTCTCATATAATAATATACTAATAAATGAGGATGAGGTGAACTTAGATTAAGACCCTTGATCATATTAAAACTTTTAAGAACATTATGAGCTGTGCCCCCCCTATCCCTCATGTGAGATTCTAGCTATTAAACTTTCTTTGCAGGCCACATGATAAACCACAAAATAAAAATTGATTACCTTTTTTTGACAAATTTGAATTATAATACATATTCTTTAAAACCAAAAGTTCACGTGAGATTTTTAATGACCCCCCCTCCTTTAACATTAGATTTGGTGAGATTTTGTTAGACCCCTGCCCCATTATTTTTATCTCACGTAATTAATGGATGTCCTCTAAAGAAGAACACAACAAACATGTTTTGGTTTATTTTTGGCACTATTCACTATGCCTGTGTTGAATAGGTGTTACATGTCCATTCTTTTTAATTTTCTAAGATCTGAACCAAGATAAGCTACATTACCAAACTAAACTAAACTAAAATTTTATCAGTTTTAGATTTAAAGTAAATTTAAGTAAAGTATAACATCTAATTTACCTGTGCAATGGCAAAAGAAACAAGGAAGGGTGTGCTCTTGGGATCAGGGAGCATGCCTTTAGCAGTGTCAAAACAACCAAAATAAGCAGCCCGATAAATTATAATACCCTGAACGGACACATTGAACCCTCTATACAACCCTATTAAACCATCTGATTTAAAGGTTTTAGCAATACAATCAACTAATCCTTGATATTGGCGATCTTTTGTGCCTTTTCCAACATCAACAGCCAAGCTATAAAAACCAACATGCAATAGATGCTAAAACTAAAAACTAGGGACTTACCGAGTTCTTGCATAATCTAGAGGGTAGACAAAACAAAGTGAAGTTGCGCCAGCTGCACCACCTGATGCTAAATTACCAGCAAAATATCTCCAAAATTGCTTATTTTTATCAACTCCCCCAAGGAATACAGTTTTGTACACATCTTTGAAGGCAAAATTTAGGGCCTGGGTTGGAAAATATCTGATAACATTTGCCAAGTTACCGCGCCAGTAACTTGCAAAACCTTGCTCTTTTGGTATGCGTATAAAACAATCGATCATTCCTGGAAAAAGGAAGATAAGAAAAACCTTGTTCTTTTTTTAAAGTAAATATTTAGGGTTCAAACCAATCTAATGATGTAAAAAAGTAAGTAGTTACTCAATAATATCCAGTAGAAATTCTTCATTTAGCTGGGGATGTATTTTATTGTTTTTATATTGATACATACAGTTATACTGTAAATAATTAGATGGGAAATGGTTTACCCAATTAATTATTTAAAGTAAGTACCTACTTTATTAAAAGGCATGAATATTTAAAATAACGTTAAATATAATATAATAGCACGTGGCGGCTTACCTTTATATCTATCTTCCGGTCGAATTTGCTTGCTTACAGCTTGAACTTGCAACAAAAGTTTTACCCTTTCAATAGGTGCAACTGCAGTTTTGGCCACGGCAGCAGAAATACCTCCCGCCATGAAATCTTTAAAAAACGACACGTAATCTCCAGACATGTTGCTTGCTATATGATGTTCAGCAAAGGAAATTTTTTGACAGCGGGAGGGAGTTTTCAAGATTGTTCGAGTTTGAAGTGTGACGTCAGAATGTAAATTGGCCAATGACAGTGCTTGATTTGGGCGTAATGCGACATCTGCTAGCGGGTAGACAAAACTTATTTGTAAGAAATGGTTTATAAATGTAATAATTACATTGTAATTAAGTAATAAATTATTAGTAATAACACAGATCAGATCCAGAGTGATTCATAATATTAAATACAGAAATTACATTGACCAGATCAATACAAGGAGGCTATAGAAAATTCTGACCCATATCTATACAGGATTAAACCCTCAAAGGAATACAGGAAGGAATACAGTGGTAGTTTTAAATAAAACCTGTATAATTCTTAAACACAATAATTTATATTTAAATAAAGATAAATTTAAGTAACATAAGACTAATTTGATAACTATTCTACAGAACATATCACAATGTAAAAAGTTAGTTTAGCATGGTATGACGATCATAGATATTTCTTCTTTGTTCCTTAACTTGTCTTTTCCATTTATCCTGTTGATGGCCAACTCTATTTAGTACATTTCCTCTGACACTCATATTATGTGACATTGGTCCTGCCATAGCTTCATCCTTAAAAACAAATAATTAAAAAACAATAATAAGAAGGTTAATAACAATATTTTTACATCTTCATTAGTGTGTTCCTGGTAATTTCCTTTAATTTTCTTATTCAGTAAGGGATCAAGTATTATAAGAAAAGCCATATAAATGACTAGAATTGAAATAACCCATATAACAATGATAACAACAACCTGAATGATGGTAGTATTTCTGTGTTCATATTTGCATTCACATCTTGGGCAGAATTCTTGGGCTTTTTCTTTTAATTCTCCTTGAATGGCGGGTAAAATGACTTCTTGACAATTACTGAAATAAAAAATGTGGAACACTTTTTTGTAAGTAACATTGTAATAAAAATTACCACTTATTTGGAGGGACATTTGATATATTTCTTATGTGAGCAGTGTGTAATGGGTCAGTTCTATTTGTTACTGAAGATAAGCTAGGGCAAACACATTTACATCTTCTATCTTCGTAACCCTGACCCTGGAACCCAAATATTAACATTTAATAGCTAATTAACCTATTCACCTGTTAAATTACCTCTGAAAAAATCAAATTTCCTAAAACTAATAATACAGCTAAGTAGTATTTCATTTTAAATCATATAAATAGTTTATCTATTTACTAAACGTCAAAAATGAAAGTTGACAACTGACAGCAGATAACCTGACAGTTCTAGCAAAGCGCCATCTGCTTGTAAACAATAAAATGATGTACAGTTAATTTTTAACCGGTTCTATTGTTGATATACTTTTTCTATGGTTGATAATTACGCCAACTCCAACACAAATGTAAATACCTACCATTATCTATGTAAATACTGTGAGATAAAGAAATGTGGTGCCGATTATTCAAATAAATATTTAATCGTTAGTACTATAGTGTAAAACACAGGAACGATGGCGACCGGTGAAAATAGAAACGTGGCTCTTCTTACTGGAGTTAATGGACAGGTGAGTTGTCTGTTTGTTTATTTATAAAGCTCTTTTGTTGTTTATTCTTAACTGTTTGTATTGTGATATATAAAAAAATGACAAATGACTGTCAAAAAGTTGATCTTCTGCTAAACTATAGGTATCTGTAGTTTGCGGGAGATTTAAATCTAGAATATCTTATTAGCTCAGAAGTTTAAGCATTTGAATTGGAAAAAAATAATAGCGGTTACATTTGTTTAAACCACAGTCTGTGGTTTAAACCCTTCCTGCGAAAAGCAAAAGTGCAAAATTTGAGGTTGCTTCCTCTGCCATCTTTGTTTTAAGGGGTAAATTTGAAAACTCGATATTTTAAATAACAATATTGCTTTTATGAGTTGTTATGTGATATTTTAAATTAATTTTTAATCCACGTAAAAAGTCATAAGAGCAAAGTAATTTGCTATTTTTTATTGCAGAGAATAAATTACCTAGGTAAACTTTATGTTATAGTTATGAACAAAATTTCAAACAAAAACGTCTGAGGTATGGGGTTAAAAAGGAGTTTTGCTATTTTTTTCTTTCATAAATAAGTGGCATATTCAAATGGGAAAGCCGTTGCTGACTCAATTTGCAACAACTTTTGTTTTTTTTATTATTAATAATTGTTAGTTACCGGGAACGCGACAAAGCACAGAACAAACGACAAAGTTCGAGGGTCGCTACCATGGAGCCTATACAAGGAGCCCGAACTTCATGTAAACAAGAATCTTCCTAAGATAAGAGGGCGCTGGTGTACTACCGGTCCAAAACAGTAGAGTGGTATAACCAGAGATGGCGCCACTACCTACCACTTATTATTGTGGAAATAATTGAGGTTATGCAACTGTCAGTTTATCGCTTTCTGAAAACAATGTACCCATGTACCTGGTTTTGTGTATAAAGGTCTTAATTTACAATAAATTTATAACAAATTTAACATTGGAATTCATGTTGGACTTTCTGATGTAGAGTATAGTACAGTTTTTTATAAATACGTGTTTTTTTCTATAAATTTATTTTCTTTAAAGAATGTCGTGTGATGCTATATTGTGTAAAACCTTATGTTCTGTGTGTAAAACTAACAGAATATTAAATCTATATGGTATTTATTTTTAGTTTTATAGGTAGATGGCTTAAATAAAAGTTCAATATAAACAAATAAAGGTGGAAATTATTAAATATGCTGTTTACTCATTTTATACATACTTTTTTATTTAAATTAAATTTAAATTATTAAATAGCGGTGTATTTCTAACCTGGAAATCTAATTTTGCCTCTCCAGAGTCGTAAAATCACTTCACAGATTATAAAGAATCACTTATATTTCACAACCAAAACCTATTTATTAGAATCTACCTACCAGGTACAGCCATAAATAACAAAACGATTCGTACGTCAAAACATTATTGCAAATCAATTGTCAAAATTACTTGCTTACTTCACATGTATTTTTGATACTATTTTCACGTCATACGGACGCATTGACAAACAGCGCCGCTGGTGGTGAAAAAAAAAAGACTTAATTTATGCAATTTAGTGGACAGGTTTTGTCAATTTTCCCTATTAAGTTCGGGCTCCTTGTGTAGGCTCCATGGTCGCTACACAGAACATAAGGGTCGCTAAACGGGCGTTTAGCTGTCAACACAGAAGCGCGGTCTACAGTGTGTAGGCTCTACACACAACATTCTACAATTGTAGCAGGAAGCCAAATAGAAGACGCAAGGGTCTTGAGTCTCCCGTTGCCGCAATACCCAACGCATGTCCATATTAAGCACTGTGATTGGTTTGACGTAAGAAGTAAGCCATAAAAGATAAGTCCTACGACAATTGTATAACGGACTTAAATTCTAGCACGCAAGTTATACGGTTATTTTCGTGTATATAATTATACGTATACGTACGGTATGGTCTTTGTGAAATATAAAAAATTGTTATTGGTATGGTATTAGCTTTAATCAATACACAGGGCAGGCATTAGCTTATAATATTAGAGGCCAGGTGCTAAATAAAAATGCGGGGCTAGAACTATAAATTTACTCTTGAAAATTAACATAGCGCTTAGCGGCAATAAACCACTAAAACATCAAACGAAAAACCAATTGAAGGGGTTAGAGCTGAAACCGCGCAAGTGCATTTTTAAGTCAAATTTTTTTAAGCGTGTTACCGGATAGTAGAAAGTTTTGACTTAAAAATGCACTTGGGTGGTTCAGCTTTTCCCTTCAATTAATATAGAAATTATCGTTTAAGAAAAAGTCACACATACTTTTTCCCTGCTTTAGCGGGAGCTCTTTTCCAAATCCTATTGACAATATAGCCAAACCCACTAGTCGTTTTTGGCACATACCTTCTTGATCTTAAATACCTATTTTTTTATTAATTTTTATTTTAAAAAACTCTTTTCCCAGCGTAATAATAATTGTTTTAAACGGATACTACTTTAAATACACATTTAGCAACATTGGACTGAATGATAATAGATGACGATACCTACTAAAGATATTATCTCTGGCAATGACCAGATACTATTTTGTCAGGCTGTGCTTAGAGCTTGCCATGTTGCTAAAATGTACAATAATTTCGCTAAGACGCCTTGATGCGGGCGGGGCCTATAAAACGCGGGGCCGGGTGCAACCGCACCGTTTGCACATGCCTCACGCTACTGACTGTACAGTATTAAATACATGTATTTAATCACAATCCACGTTGTGTGGATTGTGTATTTAATAGTGGTGGCTGGTAGATTTTGGGTACCGTAAACACGGGTGGCTTTAGCTCACTTTCAAACTTAAGCTTAAAATTTTTGTGGTTTTAAAAATCATAAACATTAAATTTTGTATACCAAAATTTGAGTCTTGAGTTGCTCTTTCATAATGTTATAATGTTGCATAGGGCTGAGTTTCAAAAATAAAAATTAAAAACTGGGTGTGCAAAGTCCCATACAGCACAAGATGTCCATTGGACGTCAAATGGACTTATATTGGACGTTTGGATGTACAATGGTCGTCCGCTGAACGTCCAATGGATATATGTGCTGTCTGGGGTTACCCCCTGGTTGCGGGTAACTTTGTCTCACAGTGTATTTTCCGTATAAAATTAACTCAATATTTTATTTTATTTTTATTAGACACGTGTTAGCAGCGTCATATATCTATTGCAAGGAATTACCGATAAAAAAAATAAAAAATCGACCTGTAGTTAACCAAGGATCATCATTCCAAAGGATTGCGCATAATATAGAAATTGTAACGTGTGTATTTCTAAGAGTTTTGCATGAGGCTTTGTTTGTCCGTAAATTATTTTTGCTATATATATGAATATTTTTTATATATAAACTTTAAATTTCCTATATATATAGAAACTTTTTAGTTCAAATAATGCCGCTTGAGAATGAGGGCGCTTTGTGGTATTCAACTAAAAAGCACTGTTGTCAGAGTGTTCCAATGCAAAGTTTTGGTCAGTGTTTCCAACATAACGGATCTTCGGCCAGATCTAGCGGAACAAAATGATAGCAAAAAGTATAGGATTTTAGTTTTTTTAAATACTTATAGGTAATATATTGGTCGGTTGGTCTATTTTTATTGAAGAAAACATTTCTCTTCTTTGGCCGTCTCTATTTCTCCAAATAAACACGGCTTCGTTTTTACTAATAGGTATTTAAAAAAACTAAAATTTCTTACGTTTTGCTTCTCTTGTCAATTTATAAAAAAACAAAACCAAAACTTTGCATTGGCACACTCTGGCAACAGTGCTTTTCAGTTGATTACCACAAAGCGCCCTCATTCTCAAGCGGCATTATCTGAACTAAAAAGTTTCTATATATATAGGAAATTTAAAGTTTATATATAAATTTATATTTTTTATTTTTAAAAATATTCATTTAATATATATTATATAGCAAAAATAATTTACAGACAAACGGCGCCTCATAGTTTTGCACTGATGCGATATATACAATTTTAAAGTGTAATAAATCCCATTTCTTTCTTTAAAACACTGATTTTCCTGTAATATAAACTCAATAGAATCGCTCAATTGACAGGTCAACATTACAAATTATAATTATAATTATATATAAATGTTAATTTTATCGAGCGCGAAAAGATAGTTCATAAAAGGGTTAAAGTAACCCGCGGAGTGCAAAGTCACCCGTGTTTACGGTACACTGATATCTCAGTTATTAGACATGGGACCCAAAAATATTCTTATATATAGCAAAAATAACTTACATACCTACAAACGGCGCCTCATAGTTTTGCACTGATGCGATATATACAATTTTAAAGTGTAATAAATCCCATTTCTTTCTTTAAAACACTGATTTTCCTGTAATATAAACTCAATAGAATCGCTCAATTGACAGGTTTAGATCAACAAATTATAATTATAATTATATATAAATGTTAATTTTATCGAGCGCGAAAAGATAGTTCATAAAAGGGTTAAAGTCACCCGCGGGGTGCAAAGTCACCCGTGTTTACGGTACACTGATATCTCAGTTATTAGACATGGACCCAAAGTATTATCTTTGATGGGACCCACACCAAATTTATATAAGTTTATAATGACATTATACAGGGTGTTTTACATTCGTGGTCCATTAGAAGTTTCAGGGAAACGAAAAAAGATATAAATTTGAAATTTTTAAAGCGTTTATACGAGCCCTAACCACATAATGTTCGGACACTTCATAATTTATACAGAAATTTTTTTCGTGAATACTATCTCAAAATTATTAGAAGTTATGAAAAATTCAGCTTATTTTGGCATATACCCCTCGAAGCGATTTTTATTTTTAAAAAGTTTACCTTTTATTTTTAGCTTTTAAAAAAAGGCTAACTTTTTAACTTTTTTTTGCATGAGTAAAAAAAGTTATAAATGGGCCCATTAAAAAGAACATAA